AACCTTAACATGGAGATGTAAGGGTTAACTGTGAATCAGGGTGAGTGGCAAGGATTACTATCAGAATCCACAAGGTGATTATTTAGCCCCTAAGCAGAATGTCCTTGGTGACCTGCTTCTGAGAAACTACTCTATGGGCTTTTCTTATTATGCTTACTCTATAGCTGGTCCCTTAGCCACCGTGTCATCAGCCTTTCTTTCTTTCCTCGTTGCTACAGTTGAGCCATCTTAGCCTTACCTCATAATAGCGATTGGGTCATCATTATATTTGTTCCCTTTATCCTTCTCCCTGTCTCTCCTTTCCCATGAAAATAAATTTAGGAAAGGAAGAGAAACAAAAAAATGATACTAATGCAATTAGACTGGCTCAGTACGAAGGGGTCAAACCAGTTTCCTTGAGTGTATATACTGCCTATTTTCACCCATCCTCTTTGCTTCTTTCCCTGCCCTTCCTACCCCCAGCCCCAGTTCTTCAGTAGATTTTGTTTCAATAGTCCCCCCAGTCCCTTTTCATTACAACAAGGTGTCAGTCTTTGAGGTCAGTATAAGCTGTCAACATTTAAGTCTACCAGCGACTTCTAGTTGCCATTTTGCACAGAAAGGAAGAAAGCAGCTTGCAACAGCTTCTTAGTATTTCTGTATGATTGACTGTTTCCAAAGTGGGCATTGCTGTGTTTTGTTCATGAGGTAGGAGAGGACAAGAGGACAATTTCTAACTTAAACTTCTTAGCTTGTCCTATGGTAATTGTTAACTTTCTATCATTGTAGCATAGTCCATACAGAATTCCAAGTAACTGAATGTGTGGCTGTTCCAGCCAATGGGATGAGTTGGATTGGCTATTTCGGAAAAGGAACACTCTTTGGAACCATGTTTAACTGAAATAGTCATCAAACCAGAGAACTGGGTATTTAATTGATCATTTTCCTTATATCCGTAAGTGACATTTAATTGGAGTAATTTTGGCATTGTTGACCTGTGGCTACATGCTGCTTTTATTGTCATTTACTTGCTTTTAAAACCTTATTAGGAGTAAAAGACAACCATGAATAAGATTTGGATAATAACTAGAAAAAAATTTTTTAGCTTCAAGTATATAAATTTCTTCACTGTGGAAAACCACATATATATGTAGACTAGTGATTTTTGTTTTGATTTTAAGTGTTTTCTCTACATTATGTTCCAAATAAAGTAAAACTTAAAATAATTTGCAAATATTTTTATTGGAAAATCAATTTGGATTAATTTTCAAAAAATACAGTTTAATTTGTCCCGAGAGCATGTACATAATTACTTAAACTAGTGACAAGTAAAAGAGCTCAATATCCCCATAATGCAGAAAAAAGTGATTTTACTGAATTCTAACAGTTGGGTGAAAATGAAACTTTTTTAAAAAGGTAAGGTCCTTGAGATAATTTTTAAAAATATATTGAGATTTTCATCCGTACTTTTTTTTTAATCCTCACCTGAGGATATTTTTTCCATTTTTTGTACAGATAGAGTGGGAGGGGGAGAGAGAGAGAAACATCGACGTGAAGGGACACATCGAGTGGCTGCCACCCGCACGGCCAACCAGGACCGGGGACAAACCGCAACCGAGGTACGTGCCCTTAGCGGGAACCGAACCCGGGTCTCTCCGGATCGCAGGCCGACGCTCTAACCGCTGAGCCAAACTGGCCAGGGCTCATCCGTACTTTTTATGAGGGAAAATAGTTTGTTGAGCCCATATGAACATCGGCCTTATCTAACTTTCAAATTAATGAAATAATAAAATTTCCTGTGACTCAAGGCATTTATCAATACATTTGACTTCTGAACATTTCAATTATAAGATAATTTCAAGTACTATAATTGGCTTCACCTTTGCACTTTCATATTTCAGTGCCCTCAATTCAGGACAGCTTTATAGAGGGAAGAGAAATTTGTTCTTATTGATGTGTTCCATTTTAGGTGATTATGCCTCCTTAATATTAGAGAACTCTGGCCTTATTTATTTTAAATGTTAGAAATCCTTTTCATGCATATTGTTTTGATATTCTATTAGAATTTTCCTGGTAGTGACTTTAGTTTCTAAGTATATGCTCATTTGAATCATGGATTATCATTAAGTATTCTGCAATACTATATTATACAGATGATGGGTCACAGAATTATACCCTGAAACCTACATAATTTTCTTAACCAGTTTAACCCCAATAAAATCAGTAAAAGGGAAAAAGGTTTCAGAATAAAAAAATAAAATAGAATCTTGCATAAATTTTGCCCTGAAAAGAGAAAGTTTTCTTCAATTTTAATCATTTATTAAATGATTGAATTAATATCAATTTGAAGCTACTGCTCTTTTAGGTGTGTGGGTAGTTAATCTCCTTTTAAAGTTCTATAGGTCTTTTAAATTAATTTATTTTATTAAGTACTCACATACAATAAATGTTAGAGTACAACCCTAAAACTATAGTACAATTATGATTCAATTATACTTGCTTAATCCCAAACATTTCAGATGCAATACCAGCAGCCACTCTTCTACCCACTTCCAGTCGCTTGGACAAGGGGTCCGGAGAGCATAAGGAAGTGGTATAGTCTGTTGGACAAGCATCCAGGAGCAGAATCAATTTTTTGTTAGGCCCTCCATTGGCCCCATGTTCTATTTTGTACTAGTAGTGGTATTAAAGAGTATTTGAAAGATGAATAGCTTTTCCTGCTATGCTGAAGATCCCAAAGATTAGAGCTACACCTGGAATTATCTCTGTAGTCTAGTTAATAATAATCCTGTCAGGGATTGAGTATTAGATACTAATCACATGCTGGGACTTCATTTAGGCCTCCAGTTCTCATAGTAACATATATTCTTTCTGTAGCTACAGCAGTGTTTTTAGAAATATTACCAAGAATCAGGTATTGATGATAACTGTTGAGCTTTTGACTGTAATATGCTTTCAGATAGTTGAATTATAAGCATTTGTGCAAATGTTAAATTCAGAAAACCGTATAACCAGTTTAGGGAAATAAAAAATAAACTAACAACAGGGGCATCTTTTAAAACAGTATTTTAAAAATGTGTGTGCTAGTATATGTACACTTGCCAGTAGATACATACAAGTAAAAATAGGAAAAAGTATGTTTTTAAGCATTTTAATAGAATTCTTTAATAGGTGGAAATCTTCCCCAACCAGAGGGCCATTTGCTTTTTCTTCCCTGTTTGTCTCTAATAAGCAGGTCTCTGTTTTCTAAATTTAATATGTAGATGGAATAATTAAATCTTTTTAAAAATAATTTTCTTCCCAAATTAGTATTTTTACAGCTATACTTTTAAAGTTATAGTTTTAAAACAGGAATAAATTTAGTTAAAATGTTTACAGAAATTATTAGTGTCACATTTTGAAGAGGTCCACATTACACTTTTGGGCTATTTTGACTTTTTAAAAGTATTATTTTTGAGCACACATGCAGATGTTGATTTAAAAGCAAGATTATTTCTCTCCAAGCTATGAAAAGATAGATAGGAGAAAGAGAATGGAAATTTCTTAATTTTAAAAGTACTGGTCTTATTTTGTTTATATATTTTTTTCTTGTTTGTGCAGTGACATTTAATTTCAAAAGTTCTAAATAATTGTACACAGATGGTTGCTAGTTAGTAAATTTTATTTTGTGTGAAGTACTGTAGCTAGTAGTCTATACATTTTAAGTGTCAAAGTTAAATTTGTTCGTATTTGAAATGCATAGAATTCCTATTTAGTGCAGAAAAATGAGAGAACCTACTTCTATTCCTTATACAACTGCTTATTGTCATGTCACGTGGAATACATCTCTTGTATCTCTCTGTGCCTCTGGCTTCTCTTCTGTAAAATGGGCTCAAGAACTAAATTGACTGCCTTCATCCCTTTCAAGAACATTGAGGACAGATACCTTGAAGTCTTTGGAAGACAAAATGCCACCTTATGTATTTTTTTATATTAACTTGCCTTGTAAGTATGTGCTATATATTATACACAGTGGCACAACGTGACATTTTGAAATTTTTTATGAGAACAAAAGTTGTTTGCATGCCTTGATGTTAAACCATAACTTCATTATTAATGTTTTACAATTTCTGAACTTCTTTCCTACCTCTGTGGTGCAGTGAGAATTGTCCCTGTGACCATCTTCATGTCCTTTACTGTTTCTGGGCAGGAGGTGGGGATACTAATCTTTTGTGGCACTATTTTGGGAGTGTGCACAGAAGTTGTTGTATAGGTGGGTTAGGGATATACCCTGGGTCTGCAGTGTACAGAGCAGGGCCTCTTCAGCTTAGGAATAGACAAAGAGCCCTCTGTTTCCTTAGTTTTAGCTTTCCTTCAACATGTTTATGCTGTCCTGCATTCTGACTCATGGTTTGGAGAGTCAGATAGAACTTTTTGATTTTACCATGCAGGAAGTGTGGTGAAGGGGGAGAATTCTAGTCCAGGATTTGGGAGACATGGATTGTAGTCTGTATGCTGTGCATACAATAGTTCTCACTTTTACCTGTTCTGAACTGTTCTCTCTCTAATGAATGAGGATGCTATGGTATAAGGATCCCAGGAGTGAAGAGGGAAGTTCTTTCATTGAATGGCTAGATTTCATACAATTCTGAAATGGTGATTAAAAGTTTATGTATGAAGCTATCTCTGATTATTCACATGAAAACTGTTACATTGTGACTTCCTTTTGTACATGGGTTAATTTTCACTGCCCAAGAACTTTGTTGCATAATTTCCAACATCAGAGGGTGCTTGTGGTTGGAGAGCCCGTGTCTTTAGAGTTATTAAGTACTATTTTGTTAAAAATAAAAATTCCTACATGCTATTTTGTTTTTCTGTGTTAAAAACTGTTCTTGTAAGGTATAAGAAAGATGACAATTTTTATGTTGGGTTAATATTTGTGAAGTTTGCTTGGAAATTTTAGTCTTTTTTTGGTAGTGGTTTTTCTCAGGTTTCTAAAGTTGTTTTATGTTTTTATGACATCTTTTGTCATTCTTTTCCAGAGAATTCGGTCAACAGTGGATGAAAAAGAACAAAAACAACTTCTTATGGATTTGGATGTAGTAATGCGGAGTAGTGATTGCCCATACATTGTTCAGTTTTATGGTGCACTCTTCAGAGAGGTAGGCATGAACTATTTGGGTTTTAGCTGATGAATGAAGATCTAATTGGAATAAATAAGAGGATGACAGGATTAGATTTTGATCTTCAATTAAATGTCATACATTAATAATAAGTTAATTTCTCAGTAGTTTAGTATATAGCCATGATAACCTATGCATTAATTTCTACCATTTATATTTCCTTTTGTTAAGCGGTGAATCTCATACTTTAAAAAAAATGGCTGTCATTTGTGAATCCCATATTTTCTTTATTTATAAATACTTCTTTATTCTTTAAGACCCTGACAATCAGCAGATAGCGACACCTTAACCCTTTTGCTATAGGTTTAGCTCTATCTCTTTTGGTCTTGAGCTCTCTCAGTGCACCCATACCTTTATTAAAACTTATATTCATTTCTGTCATCAGATGTACCTGCATTCAATGTAAGCAGTTCTTTGTGTTCACTCATAATCCTCAAAAATCCACCAGACATGGAAATTAATGTTTGATAGATATTTTTTTAAAAAAATTTTTTTTCTTTCTTTCTTGATTTTTAGAGAGAGAGGAAGGGAGAGGGTGAGAGAGATAGAAACATAGATGAGAGAGAACATCCATTGGCTGCCTCCTGCACAGCCCCCTATGGGGATTTGGCCCACAACCTGGGCATGTGCCCTGACCGGGAATTGAACAGACAACTTCTTAGTGCATGGGTCGACGCTCAACCACGGAGCCACACCGGCCGGGCAATAGTTATTTTTTTTTATCTAATTCTGCTATCCAGATTTTTATATAGAAACTAGAACTCTAACTTCTTGAGTTTGTGATCACGTTTCTTCTTTTGGCCTCTTGGTATTGTGTTCTGATGTTGGTATTACTTCTGCTTCCAAGTGTCAGCCCACTTTTTCATTTCCAGTCATTTCACTGCCTAATGCAGGGAAGTGAGTTATGGCAGGGACTAAAGCTAGAGCTGTAAGGGAATTAAATCCTTTATGGTGTCTGGAACAGTTATCATACATTTGTGGTGTTTAGTTCAGTGAGGGACCTGAACTGACCTCTTAAAACTTTTTATTTTACTTATTTTTTAAAATGTTATCGTTCAATTACAGTTGACATTCAATATAATTTTGTATTAATTTCAGGTGTAGAGCATAGTAGTTAGACAACCATATACTTTACAAAGTGATTCCCCTGATATTTACAGTACTTACCTGGCACCATACATAGTTATTAAAATATTACTGGCTGTATTCTCTATGCTGTACTTTATATCCCTGTGACTATTTTGTAACTACCAATTTGTACTTCTTAATCCCTTCACCTCTTTCCCCCAGTTCCCCAACCTCCTCCCCTCTGGCAACCATCAGTCTGTTTTCTGTATCTATGAGTCTGTTTCTGTTTTGTTTGTTCATTTATTTTGTTCTTTAGATTTCATATATTAGTAAAATCATATGATATTTGTTTTTCTGACTATTTCATTTAGCATAATACCATCCAGATCCTTCTGTACTGTTACAAATGATATGATTTCATTTTTTTTTTATGGCTGAGTAATACTGCATTGTATATATGTACCATAGTTTTTTTTTTGTTTTTTTTTATCCTCACTCGAGGACATTTTTCCATTTTTTATTCAGATAGAGCTGGAGGGAGAGAGAGGAAGAGAGAGAGAGAAACATCGACATGAAAGGGACACATCGAGTGGTCACCACCCACACGACCCAACCAGGGCCAGGGACAAACTTCAACCGAGGTACATGCCCTTAGCAGGAACAGAACCCGGGCCTCTCCGGACCACAGGTTGACGCTCTAACCGCTGAGCCAAACCAGCCAGGGCTGTACCACAGTTTTTTATCCATTCATCTATTGACGCACACTTGGGTTGTTTCCATATTCTAGCTGTTGTAAATAATGCTGCAATGAACATAGGGATGCATATATTCTTTTGAATTAGTGTTTTGGGTTTCTTTGGCTATATATCCAGAAGTGGAATCTCTGGGTCATAAGAGTTTTTTAAAAAAATTTTTTAAGAGCCCTCCATACTGTTTTCCATAGTGGCTGCACCAGTTTGCATTCCCACCAACGGTACTCGGTACTCGGGGCTTCCCTTTGCTCCACACCCTCACCAGCACTTGTTTGTTGATTTAGTGATGATAGCCCTTTTGGCAGGTGTGAGGTGATAGCTCATTGTAGTTTTCATTTGCATTTTTCTGATGATTAGTGGCGTTGAACATCTTTTCATATGTCACTTGGCCATCTGGATGTCCTCTTTGGAGAAGTGTCTACTCAGTTCCTCTGCTTAGTTTTTAATTTTATTGTTTGGTTTTGGTATTGAGTTGTTTGTATTCTTTATAAATTTTGGATATGAGCCCCTTATCAGGAATATCATTGGTGAATACTTTCTTCCCTTCATTAGTTGTTGTTTTACTGATGGTGTCTTTTGCAGTGAAAAGACTTTTAAGTTTGATATAGTTTCTTTATTTTTATTTATTGATTTTAAAGAAAGGAGAGAGAGAAAACTGATTTGTTGTTCCACTTATCTATGTGTTCATTGGCTAATACTTGTATGTGCCCTGACCTGGGATCAAACCTGCAACCTTGGCATACTGGGACAACGCTCTAACCATCTGAGCTACCTGGCCAGGACTTTATGTAGTTTCGTTTGTTTATTTATTTTGTTTGTTTCCATTGCCCAAGATTTATTAGAAAGAATACTGCTAAGAGAAATGTCAGATATTTCATTGCCTATGTTTTCTTCTAGGAGTTTTATGGTTTTGAGGATTACATTTAAGTATTTAACCCATTTTGAGTTTATTCTTGTATATGGTATAAGAAGGTGGTATACTTTTATTTTTTGCATGTATCTGTCCAATTTTTCCAACATCATTTATGTACCTCATTGTATGTTCTTGTCTCCTCTGTCAAATATTAAATGATCATATTGATCTGGGTTTATTTCTAGACTTTCTGTTCTGTTCCATTGATCTATGTTTCTGTTTTTATGCTAGTATCATGATTTTTGAATACTATAGCCTTATAGTATAGTTTGATATAAGGTAGTGTGATACTTTTAGCTTTGAACTCTTAAACATTTTAAATGCACTTTAAAAATTTGAAAATGTTTAGATGTGCTGGAACTAGATGACAAAGAGTGTAGCCTTGAGGTTCTTGTTGTAGTTATTGAAACTTAAAATACACTCAGTTGTAAGACAGGACTGAATGTACACTGAATAGAAATGTACAACAGGGCTGAATGTACACTGAATAGAAATATGAAATCTTATAATTAGAGAAAAACTTAGAGGTTAGTCAATTAATTCTCCACCCAATCCTGAAATTTATTGTGTGTATGTGTGTTCTTAATAGGTAACTCTAGTAACTGGAAGAATACTGCTTCACGATAGAGTCCATTTCTTCGTTCAGTCACTAAATAATCACTGTTAATTTTATACTCATAGTTTCTTCTTCCTCCTGTACTTATAATTTTTATGACTTGAATTATGACTTAAATATTCTTTTTTTTTTTTTTTAACCAGATACATTGAATTTGTTAGCTTACTTCACCATTTCACATCATTACATTGTATCAGTATATAGTCATGTATTCAGGTACATAACTGTATCCTGGACTTAAGTATTACATAATGTTATTCTGTTAGTAAGATCATGAATCTGGAACTTTCTTTAGTTTGCACAAGAATCTTGCCATCTCCTCTGCCCTCCTTTCCCCAAACCATAACTTAATTTATTCTTCATAATCACTTAATCATCTGGCTACATTACTCTTTCAGTCTTATGCAGAACAATTGTATTTAGGGATTGGACTAGATTTTCTCTCCTAACTAGATTCCACAGTCAGCTTTTCAGTGCTGTCTGTGTTCACTAGAGATCCCACGGGCTCTGTCCTAACCGTATATCACCTCCGTGGTGCCTGCATATGCCAGTTTAGTTCTCATGTTCATTTCCCTAATCCTCCATTTGAGCAACATTTAAATATCTAGCGCTAGGCTAGATAGTCTGACTTCATGAAAAGAGGCAGTATAAGTGATACCTACGATTGAAAACTTGCTGCTAATGAAACAAAAAGCTTTTTATAAACAAAAAGAATAGGATCTGAATAGTATCCTTATGGTTTCTTACGAATCGCTGGGAAAATTCAGTGTTACATCTCAGGAAGGTTGAAGGGACTTGAGATATGTAGCTATAAGCACTAGCATCTATTAATGCCCTATAGTTTTCACATATATTATCTTCACAACAGTCTCAAGGAGTTCGGTGTATATTATCCCCTTTTTCCAGAGAGGAAATTGAGATTTGAGTACTAATTTGAAAAAGTCACACAGCCAATAAGTGCCGGAGATGGAAATTCAGAGACAATGACATCACTGTTCATTCTAACACAAGTAGTCCAGGGATGAAGAACTTTAGCTTAATTTAAAATATAATGTAGTTTTTAAACATTGTAATTTTTTACTATGATAAGGTGAGATCTTAAGAACTATATAGTTAAGCTGTATAAAGTCACAAAATGCCTAGATAGAGTGAACTTTAACTTCTCCCCCAAATCTTAGAATGGTAAAAATAATAGGTACTTTCTGAACAATAAAACCTGAAGTTTTAGAAGCAGAAAGTTCATCTTTAAAGAGTGTATAGTCAAAGTGTATTTTCTCAAGTTATGGCAGGTGGAAAGGTTAAACAGATTTAATAAGGGTTTAGAGAAACTCTTTCAAGATTGATTACTTAAAAATAAAGATTTTTTTTTATCCTCACCCGAGGACATTTTTCCATTTTTTGTTCAGATAGAGTGGGAGGGAGAGAGAGAAACATTGACGTGAAAGGGACACATCGAGTGGTTGCCACCCGCACGACCAACCAGGGTCGGGGACAAACTGCAACCGAGGTACGTGCCCTTAGTGGGAACCGAACCTGGGTCTCTCTGGACTACAGGTCGATGCTCTAACTGCTGAGCCAAACCAGCCAGGGCTAAAGATCTTTTTTGACTACAATAATAGACCCAAAAATC